AAGGCCACTGAAGTTCAGCCAAGCAGATCCACTTCCACAAACCTGACCATTTCCCCATGAATCCAAATCACTGGGGAGTTTTCAGGACAAGAGACGAGTGTGTGTCCCTTTCTGCCCTTAGAAAAGTGAAGAACGTCCAGGTGACCTAGGCCTTTGCCAAATAGCCTTTCCTCACAGAAACCAATATGCAAACATCACAATCAGACCTGTGGACAGACTTTTCTTTTAAAAACAGATAATTTTAGAACAAAATGTAATTTGAAGACCAACTATCGTATTTCAGAGGTAAAAAAACTGGGACCAAAAAGTGAAAAGTGCCTTGCTAGCCCTACATTCCTACACAGGCAAAATGGAACATGATCCTTGGCCTCCTAAGCCAGTGCTTATCACTTCATGAGCAATCTCAAATGGAATCAACAATGGCCCTTTCAGGCTTTTGGCAGACTAGAAGCCAGAATTCCTCCAGTTACAGATGCTTAACATTATGGAAAAAATATAAGACAAATATTTTATCATAGCTAAGAGAAAAATATTTTATCATTTATAAGAGAAAAGGAAATATCAGATACCAAAAACACAAGAGAAAGGGTATGGATGGGAGCATGGGAGCTGGAAATATTTCCAAGTGTCAGGCCTTTCCAAGGTGATGTGTTTTACCTGTGTAAGGACTTCACCTGTGGCCTGTGTAGACAGAGAGTAGACACCAAAGATACATTTACCAGATGTGCCAAGAAGAGGAGCACTAAAAATATTTATTGCCCCTAGGGGAGGACAGGAGACTTGAGTTGACTGGGTTTTTTTAGTAGGAAAAAAACAATAATATCTTCAGAATAACTAATCCACCAAACCTTCACATGGAGCAGAAGCAGAGTCTGAAATTTATATTCTTCAAAGGGGAAATTACACTCTTCAATGGGGAGCTCCTTGGAGAACCTGGCAGGAGAAAATGCAAAATTTGTCTGGAGGAATAGTCTATAACTTAGGCCCTATGGGTTTCCTACAGACAAAATGGATCACCGGGAAAGATAACCTCATAGTAGAATATAACCAAAACAGATATGAAAATGATAGGCCCACCATGACAGAGAATCAGCAGATACAACTGTAGCTGAATGAATGGATTAACAACCAAACTAAACAAAACCCACACAGAACTATCTCATAAATACCACTAGAAATACTGTAAATGATTAAAGAGATGAAGGAATAGAAACCACAAGGAAATAAAACTCTGAAAAAAGAAACTGAAAGACCTATGTCCCTTATCAATGTCCCTTGACAGTCAGCAACAAAATACTAGCAAACTGAATCCAGGGCCAATGAAAAGGATTATATACTGCGACTAAGTGGAATTTATCCCAGGAACAAAAGGTTAATTCAAAATACAAAAACCGGGTCTGCCTAGCAGCGCAAGAGGTTACGCACTGAACTATGAAGCAATCCGCAGCCTCTGAAGCACGAGTTCGATCCCCGGCCAGCCAGGGAGCAACCCACATGGTGCAGCAGACCTCTCCTCACTCACCCGCTGCTCCCCCAGCAGTGTACTTTGGTCTATCTGCCTGTTCTGTTCCCCACTCTGTCTCTGGTGAATCCTCTCAACCCCCTCTCCCACTGCATCTCTGGCCTGTACCCCAGCTCTTGGATGCATAAATAAATAAATCTTTTTTAAAAATACAAAAACCAATCATTGTAATAACCCAAATCAACAGAGTAAAGAACCAAAGCATACGTAATCATCTGAATAGACAAAGAAAAAGCATTTGACAAAATCCACCACCTTTTCATGATAATAACACTCAACAAACTAGTAATGGAATGGAATTTCCTCAATCTGTTAACAACTAGAATTAATAAACAAGTTTAACCAAGTCACAGATTACAAAACCAATATACAAGAATCAGCTGCATTTCTATGTACCCACAATGAATGATCTCAAAATGGAAATAAGAAAGCAATTCATTATAATATCCAAAAAATAAAATACGTAGGAATGAATTTTTTTAAAATATAAAATTTATACTTTGAAAAGTACAAAGCATTGTTTGAAGAAATGAAAGACCTAAACAAATGAAAGAGTATTCCATGTTTATGGATCAGAAGAATTAAAATTTTTAAGGTGGTAACACTTCCCAAAACAATTTATAGACTCAAATAAATCCTTGTCAAAATCCTAGATGTTCCTCCTGCATAAATTAGCAAGCAAATCCAAAGAATGATATGAAAATACAAAAGCACCTAAAGTAGCCAAAATAATCTTGAAAAATACACACACACAAAGTTAAAAACTTACTAGAAAACTACAGTAACCAAGACAGTCTGACAGGGCGATGGTTGGATAGACATATAGATCAATTAAACAGAATAGAGAGTCTAGAAAATCTTTATAGTTATGGTCAATTGATTTTTGACAAGGGTGCCAAGACAATTCAATGAGGAAATATTCACCTTTTCAATAGATAGTACTGGTTTCCTGCCCCTAAAGGTGTGGTGCTCACTTCCAGAGGCCCAGCAGCTATTTTGCAGCCCAAGGATCTGGGCAGGTGGGTAGTGTCTGCAAGGCTTTCCCAGCAGGTAGAGAACTGTCTAGTTGCTCCTCCCTCCTTCCGAGTCATTCCTTTCCATTGATTCACTTCCCTTCTCTCTGAACATCATGAAGTCTCAGAACAACTAAGACTGCATTTTTAAGTTTGCAGAAAACTAAGAATATACTTGGATGGCCTGATAAGAATGGCCTTTTGAGAGTGCTCCTACTTTTTCACACCCACAATATCTTTGACAATACCTCTCCTATAGTTGCCATATGGTCCTCCTTAAATTCTACTCCTGTGTCCGTGTTTAAGGCTTAGGTCAAGCCCAGTTCACTCTACACAGCAGCAGAGTGCCTGGTACAGAGCAGAAAATCAATATCCGCCCTTTTGTTCAACAAACACCTATCAGGCACCTATGCGCCAAGCACCCAGCTGAGGCTGGACTGCTCTACTCAATGTCAGTCCAGACCAAGAACTGACCATTCCCAAAGACTTCGAAAGGAAAAGAATGAGCCTAATCAGGAAAGTAATTCCATTAAGGAGAGTTAAATATGTCCAAATAGGTGTTCGAGATTTTTGTACAATTATGATCCTATGATCAAATTCCAAACTTGGCAATCAGAGAAGCTTGCTCATTTCATGGTGGTTTGTTAAAAATCTGTCTTTTCTGGCTCTGAACCGCACTCCTGAGCTGTGGGGTCTCCAAGGTTAAGCCTCTGTTCTCTTTCCAGCTCCTCGGTTGACTGCCTGGCAACAGAGAGTGAAAGACCCCATTCAACAGAAGGCACAGAGGAAGTTCTTAGACAAAAGGGGATCTGCCAAGTTAAGGGAGAGTTTCAAGTTAAATGAAAACTAACAGACATACTTGAAGAGGATAACACGTGACGGTGGTAATTGTGAGGTCACGCCTGCATCTCACATGTGGCAAATAAAATCCATTTGGCAAATTTCATGAGCCAACTGCTAAGAATCTGTTAAGGAAGGAGGCATCTGTTTCCACTGTCTGAAACCTAGGGCTTATGTATTATTCCCCCAATATCCAAGAGCACATAACCATGTGGATTCTGAACGTGGTATGTTTTACAGCTTGCAAAGTCCGATAACATTGTTTGAGAGTCCAAGTGTCACTTTCAGTTCCAAGTCCAACAGCTTTTCATACTCTTGGTGTTCCCCTCTGGGCCACAGTGTCTTCTTTGGGTGCATTTCCTGTGGACTTTATCACAGGAGCAGTTTAGATGCCTCATATCCTAACAGTCCATAAAAGATGCAACTGCAATCAGAAGTTTTTTTAAACCAGAATAAGATCTCCGGCCCTTGCAGGTTGTGTGAATGTCTCTGATGCTAAGGGACAGTCTCCCCTGGATGAAGACTGTCCGGATCCTCAGGGTCTGGGCTGGGGCTGGGTGGGAAACACAACAGGGAGCCCCAGGCGCCCCTCATCCACTCTTCTGCGCCTTGAAAGGAAGAGTTACCTCCACAACCCTCAGCTTGCCATGGTTTTATAAATCGTGTAATGATTTCATGAATAGCGCTGTTTAGGTCGTATTGAGTTAAAGTCGTTCTTAATGTAAAGTTTAAAGACGTTCTGGCATTTACTATTCTTGGCACTTATATTTTCCATATACCAGGAACTTCGAAAATGTCAGCCGCTTCCTTCGTCTGTGAGGGCCCGTACCCCGAGGTCCCCTCAGATCTTTAGGGTCTGCAAAAGGGATGCGCCGAGAGGGGTCAAACAGGGAGACCAATACAACCCGGGGCCCCCAAAGATAGGGTCAGGGAGGAGGGGAGCGGTGGCGGAGAGCGTGGCTCCCGGGGTCTCCTGAGTCACGCCGCGCAGGGCACGGAGGCTCTGGGACCCCGGAGGCCTGACTGTCCTCAGCCTGCGCGGGCCCTGCTCCAGCCGAGCAGCAACGCGAGCACAGGACGCCTCGCGGGTGCGGCTTTCCGAGTCCCCAGGAGCTCTCGGCAGCGGCGCGAGGACGCGGCGCGCTTCTGGGGGAGAGTCCGCGCGCTCCGCTCCGCTCACCTGCGCGAGCTGCTAGGTCCCGCCCCCGCCGCCTCAGGGGGCCCCACCCCACCCCACCTCACCCCACCCACTCGGCCCCGCAGGCCTCCGCCCCCCGACCGGGAGGCTCGGCCCCGCCCACCAGGGCCCGGCCCGCCTCCCCCCACCCACCGCGGCCTCCTCAGGTGCGCCGCCCCGCCCACCCCGCGGCCTGGCCCCGCCCCCAGAGCCGCCTCAGGTGGGTCGGCCCGGCCCGCCCAGCTAACCTCGACCGCGTCCGGCGGCGTCTCCTCGGCTTTCCGCGGTCCGCGGCGGCGGCGGCGGCGCTCTAGTTTTGACATATTGGCGGCGGCGCGCGCGGGCCGTCCCGGACCGACTGCGGGGGCGAGGAGCGACCCCGCGGGCCCCACAGCCGCGCCCCGCCGCCCGGCGTCGGTGGCCACGAGGCCCGTCCGCGCCCCCCGGCTCGCGGGCCGGCGCTGCAGCCATGTCGCGGGCGCCGGAGGAGGTGAACCGCCTCACGGAGAGCACCTACCGGGTGAGCGGCCCGGGCTGGCGGGGGCCCAGGCGCGCGGGCGTTCGGGGGGCCGAGAGTCCGGGACCAGGGGAGGAGGCGCCGGGTGTTTGCGGGCGTCGAGAAGCCCCGGGGTCCTGGGGGACGCGTGTGCGAGGCAGGGAAGTTTGGAAGACCCGGGGACTCTAGGGGCGCCGGGGTCCGGAGTTCGAGGCGGGGGACCCTGGGGGCACCCGGGTTTCGGGGTCAGGGAGGCCAGGGAACCCTGGGGGCTCCCGGCTTCGGAGCGCGCGGGAGTGGGGGCGGGGCGGGAGCGAGGAGGCCCCGCCGGCCACTGGGGATCCCCGCCCCGGGAAGGTCGGATTTTTCACTTTGGGAATAAGGAAGGGACTTTGCGTGGACACATCCTCCCCTCCCCCTGCGCCCCACCCTGCTCCCGCCGTGGACGCCCAACAAACGCCACCCTCACTCGAGCGTCGGGCCGAAGGGGGGCTGTTTGTGAGGGTGGGATCTGTGCGGTCTCCAGGGGCCGCGCCCTCCTCCCCAACTTTTTGGAATCGGTGGCCGAGCTGGCGTGGCTGCTGCTGCGCATAATCGCCGAGCCCAAAAGCCGAGCTCGAGTTTCCTCTGAGAAAAGACTGTGCCCGGGAATGCAGGGGAGAAACTCCCGGGTAATTAGGGATCGCCAGGTGAGCGGAGCTCGCGCTGGAGGCTGCTGGGGGGCGCCCTTCTCTCCAGTTTGCTGAGGCAGCGGGCGAGTGGGCGCCCAGGCAGGCTTGCAAAGCGCTCCCTCTGAGACCTTTACTCACACAGCTTGAAGTTTTCTCGCACAGCTTTAAAGTCGATTATTTTGTGAGGTTATTGGAGTCAAAGATACCCGAGGTTTTAAGGAAATCGCCCCAACCGTATGGAATGTGTTGATGATCATTCTCTGAACTTGAATTTATTATGAGAGAATTTTTCCAGAAACAGACATAGGCTTAGGATTAGTGGCCACTTTAGTAAGTTTAAGTACTTCTAAATGAATTCCAGTTGAAATAAGATATGTGTTTAATCATCCGCTATTAATAGAATACAAAACAACTTTTGTTTTAATTTGGCACTGGAACCAAAGTTTTCAAAATTCATGTGCAGTCATTTTTATAAATTATTTTAACCCTAAAATTTAGTTTCTAGATTTGCACGTTCTAAGTCAATTCTAGAAACCAGAAGTGTTCATATATCTTTGTTGGATAAGAAGTTTTTTTAAGCATGAAAACATAGTCATAACTTACCCTTTGAAATTCAAGATTGAGTATCTGAATGTGAATTCTGTAAATTATATTTTGTAGATATACATATATTTTATAGATAGGCACAGTTGACAGCATTTTTGGGCTGTGTAAGTAACCAGCACCAAAATCTGTTATGTATTCGTGTTTCCTTAACAGAAGGCAATATTTAGAAATCCCAGAAATTTGAATGTTAGTCTTACATTTGTGTTGAGATGGTTGATGTTTAAGTGATCCTGAAGATGGTGAGGCAAGCAGTATGGGGTACTGACAAAGTGTATAAATAAAAGACTCTTAGACCTGGGGTGTTCTAGCTACCCTGATAACTGTCAGGGAAAAACTGTAATTGAGGAATGTAGATCAATGCAAATTTGAAGTGGATTCTCACTATCCACTGGAGCACAAACCCAGTAGATATTCAGTGGATAACCACAGAAATTCCTTTCCCCCTGCTTCCAAGAATAGACAAGAAATCTTCCTGATCAGAGATGACATATCAGTTTGCAAAAAGCAATCAGATGCTCCGGAATAAGTCTTCTTTTGGCTCTTTCTCCCACTTCTTCCTGAGTTTCACTTTTAGAGATGACTCAGTGGAGGGGCTGTACTCAAGTGAATGACAGCGTGACAAATACTGACCACGTTGACATGTCACATTACTCAAAAGAACAAAATATAGATTTCATTACTTGTCTATATGAGTTGTAGATATAAGGCAGTGTAAATCATTCTTATATTTTGAAAGATACTAAAGATCAGAGACCAGGACCTTTTTGTTGTCCATTCCCAGTTGTCTTAAAACATGCTAAAAGTACACAAATGTCTGTTGATCGCCTTTAATCATTTCCTTGTTAACGTTTTGGTATCACCTTTTTTTTTTTTTTTTAATGAGGTGGTAAGATGGGAATTTGCAGCTCTAGACACCTTTACATGTAATCTATAAAGTGAACACAGCTAGCTCATGCTTTGGCTATAATGGAAATGCACAGTAAAATTTTATATTCACATGTCTGCCTGAAAGCCTGATAGCCTTTCACCATTTCTCAGTGAGTTCTGAAAACAATTTAAGTTTGTTGTGGTAAAAATCTGGCAGATGAATCTAGTTCTTTAAAAAAGATATCCTTTTTGTTACCTGGTAATCTACAATATTGTACTAATAAAAACACAAGCTAGCCAGGTGCATTTACAAAAGCCAACTTCATATGAGATTTTTAACAAAGGTTTTAGATTTTTTTTTTTTTTGGTACTCAGATTTCTCCAACTTTGGAATAAAGGAATACTTTAGAGAAAATGGGGGATTATAAAGTAGTGTGATCCTCTTAATGCAGTATCAAATATCTTTAAATATTTATTTTCACATTCGCTGAGTTTTCTAAAATGTATACTTAGACAAATGAGTACTGGAGATCCATGCTAAATCCCAGGAGGATGTGTGTTTTAAGGCTTCACAAACAAATGGTATGATAATAAGCTCCAAATTGTCAAGTTCTGTTACTGTTGCTAATTAGAGTTAAACCAGAGATTCCCGCCTCCTCCCCACACTTTAATCTATAATATCCCCGTAATTACCCTGAGTACCTTCCTTGTGATTTTGCATGGTTTTCTGATGAGTAGCACATGCTTTAGTAGTACAAGGAAAGAATAAAGGTCAAAAAACCTTTAAGAGTAATCACAACCTTGCTAGAAACCAGAACTGTTGAAAGTCATTAGTGGTTGAGGGGGAGGCGGTGTGATGTTATACAGGGATGTCACACCACAATAATCTTGCTAAACTAGCAATGGAGGGGGGAAATGACAGAGAGGGAGGGAAAGGGGACATAAATGTTTTTGTTGAAATGTGACTTTCTCAGGGAAGCCTCTTCAAACAACTATCTTTAAAATTGCAGACAATGCCATCTGTCTCCCAACCTCACCTGATGCTACTTTAACCTTTTCCCGAGAGCACTTACTGCCTTAGGATATACTATGTAATATATTTACATATTGTGTTTATCTCTTTTACTGTGTTTGTCACTCCAACTAGAATGTGAGCTCCTCAAGGAAGGGACCATTGTTTTGCTACAGTTAGAACAGTCACAGGCCGTAAGCACACATATTTATGGAATAAATGAACTTTATTTCATTTATTTAGTAAGTACGTATTCAGTGGCAGGCTCCTCCTCCTCTGCCAAGTTAATGCTTTTCATAGTGTTTGGTCAAAGTGTACACCCGGCCTTGTTTGTTTAATGTTAAGAAACTATGAGTGACCGGCACCTGCCTGCCATTTGCGGCACCAGCCTCCATCCCTCTTTTTGTGTGGTGCTTTAGTTTCTAGTGACCAACAAATGCACCAAAAAAAAAGACGTTTTATAATCTCGTGATCTAAGAGGTCACTCAAGTTTTCTATCATTCTGTTCATTTGTTATCATTGGCATGTTCTGAACAAACATTTTAATTTTTAAAAATGGGGTACTTTTGCTCTTCTATTGGTAAAGCCAGCAACCTCCTCAGCATGTGTCCTACGTTCTGGATGCGTGTTTAATGGCTTTTTAGTTTCTTAATTTGGGTATTATTGAGGATGTGTGAGTGAAATTCCCTACCTAGTTGGTTTCTAGTGTGTACTACCCTGTACAGGTCTAGCTTTTGAAGCTTTAAATTGCCTATGTTTATCACTGTAGCTATATACACGATGTGACATCTTCATGTGTCCCTGTGACACTACTCTCTTCATTTATGCTGAAGATCAGACAGCATTTGCAGAAGTCCAGACAACTTGCTCTGAGTTCCATGATGACTAAAAAAAGGCACAGTAAGAATCAGGTGCCAGGTTCAAATATTAAACTGAATAGCTTAGTATTGTGGCTTGTTGTCTGCTAAATGAAAGTGCAAAGCCAAACAATGACTGTCTTTTTCTGCCATAACATTTTTTTCTTGACTGGAAAGAAGTTTTAGAACTATAACATTATTGTTCAGCACCCAGAGTGGCATCCCTTATTATGAAGCCTGGGACCATGTAAACAGAGACACCACTCATAAGTTTCAACCTGTATTTTACTTTACATTTGTGACAATGCTTCAATATTTGGCATTAATCTTTGCCTTTAACTTCTATTGTAACAAGCCGGGGCAGACCTGTGAGGGAAACCTAATATGGGTGAAATTGCAACAAATTGAAGTTTTGTTTTCCTCGACATTCCACTATTCTGCAGTTCAAGAGTAAAATTTATCACAAAAGTAGCAAAGACATTAGCTTATCTGTTGAACTTGCAATTTTATTTATTTCTATGGCTTTTTATTGAACGTAAACGTACAGAAAGGGGTGCTTAGGTGTATATAGCTCACTAAATTGTCACAAACAGAACACACCTGTGTAACCAAACCCCAGCTCAAGAAGCTGATTGTGACCAGCCCTCCTGCCACCTACCAATCACTATACCCCCTTCAAAGGAACTACTCTCCTAACTTGTATCACCACTAATTAGTCTGGCCTATTTGTCTGCCTTCTTTCATCCAAAGTCAGATTCATCTATATGGTTGGAATCATTGTAGCTATTTCATTCTTATTGCTTTGTAGTGTTCAGCTGTGTGATGCTATCAAATGTGTATGTTCTCTTGAGGAGGATTTGGATTGTTCCAGACAATTCCAGGTTGTTATGAACTGCTGTGAACATTCTAGTACATGTCTGCAGGATCTTGGTCCTCATTTCTCTTGGGAGAATGGGTTTGCTGGATTATAAGGTATTTGGATATTTAGCTTTGGTGAAAACTGTCTAGCAG